TTATTGCCATCTGGATAGTTATTTTATATTTTTCCATTTTTCTCCCTCAGTCTTTTTTCAGAGCTATGATCAAAATCAGCCTCACTACTTAAAACACAAGCATTTCACCATTACCTTTGTACTTTTGTTCCCTTAAACTGGTTTCTATGTGTGTTGTAAACTATAATTCTTAATTTCTAAGGTTGTGGTTTGTGTCAGATATAGTAATGTTTTTTACTTTTCTGATGGAGTCAAGAGTTCCAAAGATTGTTTGCCATGGTTTGATTGTCTTCTCATGTGCTCTAAAAGTGCTCTTTAGAACCCAGGAAAATCTGCAAGCACCTCCAAGCTGCAGAATGAAAGCAAAGAGATGAAGCGTGGTGGGAAAGACCTGCCAGGAGGTGAAATGCTGCCCTACTACCAGTATGATTTGGAAATGACATTGCCCACATGCCTCAGTTTCTTTATTTGTAAAATAAGGATGTACCTTAAATGAGCTCCAGAGGTTCTCTCAATATTATTCTATCGTAATGAAGCATTTAAAATTTTAAAATCACAAGTCATTCTTACATAGTAATTGGAAAAAGTACATTTCTGCAAAATAATAATTTTCAAATGTCTCTAAGAGTCATTGCTACCTTTGAATCTTCTAGTTAAAGTTAATAAATATTAGAATTAGGGGAGCAATATATGTTAGGCACTCCCCCACCAAAATAAAGAGGAAAATCTTGAGTAGATTCGTTCTCTCTTCTTAAATATTTTCTTTTCCTTTGAGCTAAGAAGGTAAGGTTTAAGATTAACTTTCTGTGAGCTGTCCCGGCTCACTTCAAAAGTGTTGAGTAATAAGCTGGATTGTTAATATTGCCTGAATTCAGTGTAATTCTACTTAATTTAGTATTTCTCCAAGCTAACCTGAAGAAGTAAATACATTTCTTCTCTTTGGCCTACTGGTTAAGTCAGACATATATGGATGGCAAGTATCCGAGTGGTAGGAGATTATCCAGAATGCAAGAAAAAAAAAGGCTAATGTGTATTTCAGCAATCACCATTGCAAGTTTGGTTTGGCTGGGAAGTCCTATATTTGGAGTTTTGTTTGTCGGTTTGTTTTTTGTTTTTGTTTTGGCCAAACAGCTTGGCATGTGGGGTCTTAGTTCCCTGACCAGGGACTGAACTTGCACCCTTTGCAGTGAGAGTGTGGATTCTTAGCCTCTGTACCTTCAAGGAAGTGCCCCTGTGTTTGGAGTTTGATCCTTGTGCCTTCATGAGTGTCAGTGCCTTGTTTGTGAGTGTCACTGTTGCAAGTGCCTTGGTTTTTGACCAAGCCATGGAGGAAAATGACATTGAATACTGATGCAATCAACTTGTTATTGGGGACATTGCTAGTGATGCTACATTAGTTTCCCATGTCTGCTTTAACATGTTGCACTGAAAACTTAATGTTGTAAAATAACTGAATTATTTTTCTCGCAGTTCTAGAGACCAGAAGCCTGAATTGGGTCTTAAAAGGCTAAAATCAAGGTGTTCTCAGGGCTGCGCTCCTTCTGGTGGCTCCAGGGGAGAACTGGCTCTAGCTTTTCCCTTTTTATAGTTTCTAGAGCCACCAGCATTCCTTGGCATGTGGTCTTTTCCTCATCTCAGTTTAATCTCTACTTCCATTATGACAGGGCTTCCCTGGTAGCTCAGTTGGTAAAGAATCCACCTGCAGTGCCGGAGACCCCAGTTCAATTCCACAGTCAGGAAGTTTCCGTGCAGAAGAGGCAACCTACCCACTCCAGTGTTCTTGGGCTTCCCTGGTGGTTCAGATAGTAAAGAACCTGCCTGCAATGTGGGAGACCCGGGTTCCATCCCTGGGATGGGAAAAGCCCTTGGAGGAGGGCATGGCAACCCACTCCAGTATTCTTGCCTGGAGAATCCCCATCATATTTCCTTCTCTGACTCTGAACTTTATAAGACTGTGGTGACTACACTGGGTCCACCTGGATAATCCAATATCCTCTCCCCATCTCAAGGTCCTTAACTTAATCACATCTTCCAAGCCCTTTTGCCATGTGAGGTAACATGTTCATAGGTTCCAGAGATTACAGTGTGGGCATCTTTGGGGGCTGTTATTCTGTCTGTCGTAGATCCCTTTTAATCATTCAGGTCATCACCCAGATGTTACCTCCTCAGAGAGGCTTCCATACCACCTAGAACCCCATCTATCCTGGTTCCTGTTTACCCTGTTTTATTAAATCTGAGAACAGTATGTTTATATTCCAAATTTATTTTTCATTTTGTGTCATTTTATTTAATTGTCACTTTCTGTCTCCCTCCACTAGAGGATAAGCCCCACTAGAGGGGAAACATGGGCAGCCTTCTTCACCACTTTGTCCCCCAAATCAAAAGCATTCCAGCACTTGGTAGACTCTCAGAAGATATTTGTTGAATGAAACAATTTGCATAATGTCTAAAGAAGCCTGTTTTACACTAAAACACTATTAATATAATCCTGTTTCTTTTACTATCAATAATACAAACATTTTTCACTAAACAGCAGTTAACCATGCTGTCAATAGATTTCTTTTTTGAATTCAAGTCACGGGTTTCTCCTTGGGACTTGAGTGAGGTCAATAAAATAAAAGTACCAGCTGTAAACTGAAGCTGCAGGAAAAAGAAAATATAAGAATTAAACAGAATTAATACAAATTGTAAGTACTGACATGTTAGTCATTCAGTCATGCCCAACTCTTTGCAACCCTGTGGACTGTAGTCTGCCAAGCTCCTGCATCCGTGGAATTCTCTAGGCAAGAATACTGGAGTAGGTTGTCATTTCCTCCTCCAGGGGATCTTCCTGACCCAGAGACTGAACCTGGGTCTCCTGCATTGCAGTCAGATTCTTTACCAATTGAGCCACCAAGGAAGCCCCACCAGGGAAGTCTTGAAAGGTGGGTAAGAGCCATTTCTGGGAAATGGCCTTGGTAAAGATCACCACCTCAGGGTCTGGTTTTTAAAAGCACAAGTGATGAAAAGCTACATGAAAGGTTAGAATGCATAAAACTTGTGGAATTAGAGTAGAAGAGAGAACTGAGTGTGAATGGGATACGACTGGGTCCCTCGGGACTTGTTTGCTGTTATGTCTGAGGTGGGGATGATGATTGTGGAGGCTCTTGATATGCAGAGAGAGAAAGCTTGTATTTGATGTAGTAGAAAATATAGGACTTACAGTTAGGATTTTATTTTGGTAAGGAGTCAGTTTTTTTTTTTAAATTGGAGCATAATTGTTTTGCAGTGTTGTGTTAGTTTCTGCAATACAACAATGTCAATCAGCTATATGTGTGTATATATATATTTATTCAGGCTTCCCAGATGACTCTAGTGGTAAAGAATCTGCCTGCCAGTGCAAGGGATGCAAGATACATGGGTTTGATCCCTGGTTCGGGAAGATCCCCTGGAGTAGGAAATGGCAACTCACTCCAGTACTCTTGCCTGGAAAACCCCATGGACAGAGGAGCCTGGAGGGCTGCAGTCCATGGGGTTGCAAAGAGTCGGACACAACGGAGCAACCGAGCACTCATACATATACCCCCTCCGTCCTGACCCTCCCTCCCACCTCACCCCGCGTCCCCCCTCACTAGATCGTCACAGATCACTGAGCTGAGCTCCCTGTGTTATGCAGCAGCTTCCTACTAACTATCGATTTTCACATGGTAGTGTCAGTTTTAGAAAGATCAAGGGAGAATATGAGCTGTGGCATACATGGAAATGAAGAGTAAGGTGTGGCTCCAAGAACTATCATAGAAGAGAAGTCAGAATTTGGTAATAACCAGGGTGTTAATTGGGAACAGTGAGTAGTTAGGGGGTTGAATGTTTAATGAGGCTAAGAACTATCCAGAGAGTTCTTTTCCCTTGGGATTTTATGAGGATTAGAATGTGTTAGCATTCTCCCACACCCATTTATTTCAAAGACTGTAAAACTGAACGGCTATCCTTTGATTCCAGAAAGCTTTATGATTATTAAGCTCTCTCCTTTATCCTCATACCATAGTTTGATGAGAGTGGAAATCCAAGGTATGACTGAGGTGCCCTTTGCGTCCCACAGAATCCTAGGATGACCCTTACTGAGACGCTCTGGTTCTTGGGGAGCAGCACCACCATCTCCCTCACATGCTACATAAATACAATTGCTCAGATGGTTTACATCTCTAAAATAGTGTTTGCTTTTTTTACTGAAGGAATTATACATGCTTACTGCAGGAATTATACATGCTTATTGTAGAAATTTTGGATGCTATAGACAAATATAAACCAAAAAAATCAAATAATTTTCAGTTCTACTGCTTAGGTATAGTTCTGTTATGTGAGGAGTTGGAATAAAGAGTTGCTTACTCTTTTCAGTTAATGCATGTGGTTATTCAATATGTTAATATTATTGGTAACACTGTATGTTTTTTAGAATCCCTTGTGATTTTCCCTGGGAGTCCCTAAAATGGCATAGGAAATAGTGATGGGTTTTCCCAGTAAAATTTTAATGGGTGATATTTGCAGTAGATGGGCGAGGGTTCAGTTTTTCTCTTAGGAATTGCAGAAACCTTGATGAAATCCCATTTGGTAAATTAGAATGGAACTATTACTTTTAAAGTATGTATTTGAGATAGGATGAAAGGGGTTTTTTAGAAGTTTAGATATCTTCCTTATAATAGATCACATTCTTCATACTAATCTAGTCTGGCATTAACTTATTTTCCCTATTTCTTTTTTAATATGCAAAGCTTAATTTTAAAAGAGTCAATCATTTAAACCATAATGAAATGTAGTTCAGTCTTCTTGGAAATGAAATATTTAGTCACTTGAGATAAAGCAGGAAGGGAGGGTACTTGCTTTCCTTGGTTAAGTGGTACTTTAGATTAGTGAATACCTTTCACTTCCATATTGAATTGGTTTTCTAATTTATATTATAAAACTTTCAGATGATCATGAGATATGCTTATCATCAGATCTCCATGGCTGCATAATAAATTCCTCTTATCTTTTTGATGTTGCAGTTGACTCACGTTGACCAGGCAAGCTTCCAGCTGGATGCCTTTGGAACATCTTTTATTCTTGATGTCCTGCTAAATCAGTAAGTCTTTCCTGAGCTGCACTCACTGTTTTTATATACACATTGAATCTACTTTCTTATCCTTCTGTAAAGTTTTGTTTGCTTCCTACATTTTACTTCATCTTCCTGTCACAGTTTATAGTTGTTTAGTCACTAAGTCAAGTCTGACTCTGTAACCCCATGGACCATAGCCCACCAGGCTCCTCTGTCCATGGGATTTCTCAGGCAAGAATACTGGAGAGGGTTGCTAGTTCATTCTCCAATAACAGTTAAATACTACATTTAAAACTATGGTACCTATTGACTGTAAGTTATAACATCTGGTAAATAACAGAAAATGGATATTCACTTGAAGTTAAACAAGTATAACAGTTTCAAGAATGTAAAATTGAGGGAAATACTTTAATATTTTGCATTGTTTTGTTCTTTGATCATGTATATTAAAAAGTGTAACAAAATTGTATTTCTACAATACTGATTAAAATAGTTTATTTCTTATTTTTAAAATTCATGGCTTAGAACATATATGTTAGATATTTTATACTATACTATGTTTTTTAGGGCATGAATTTCAATTTCATAGGGTGTGAATTTCCAATTTCATAGGGTGTGAATAAGATTGTGTTAATATGATCTGTCTTATATTCCTCCTTGATGTAAATACCATAAAATTTATGGTTGTATGATGCATTTTGGGCTTCTCTGGTGGCTAAGAATCTGCCTGCCAATGCAGGAGATGTAGCTTTGAGCCCTGGATTAGGAAGATTCCCTACAAAAGGAAAGGGCAACCCACTCCAGTATTCTCTCCTGGAAAATCCCATGGACAGAGAAGCCTGGCAGGCTACAGCGCATGGAGTCACAAAAGAGTCGGACACAATTTAGTGGCTAAAATAACAATGACTCATTTCAGTTTTTCAGCAATTTTGATGTCATAAAGTTTTTTAAAAAAACTCATTATGAAGGAATGCATGCTCCTTAGAAGAATAATGAAAGAGCAGAAAAACCATCTCATATAATTTTACCACTTGGAGACTGATTGCCCTGTTTTAAGTTACCATCTATGTGCTTACCCCCATCCACCCTACTACCTATTCTTCCCTGCTTAATTTTAAAAATAGTATTATCACCATTTAATATAAAGTTTGACTCATGAAATGGGCATTTTTGCAGGTCGAAAATTTGATGAGCAGCATTGTTGTATGGTCAACTAGTTCTCTATATTTTAATTTTTAACTAATTTTTGTTGTTGGTCTTTTTCCTCCCACTAGAATTTAAGTTCCTTAAGGACTGAGATTTATTTTCCTTACTGATGTATCCTTAGCACAGGATAGGCACTAAATTCTAGAATGCAAAGTCATATTGACATAGAAACCAAAGGCTGGAGTAGGCCAGGAGATAGAGGAGATGACTGATGAGGGTGGAGACTGTCAGTTGGGCAAGAATGAAGCAGCAAAAAAGAAAGATATCAGGGATTACTGGTGGTACCGTGGTTGAGACTCTGAGCTTCCACTTCAAGGGGAAATTCCCTGGTTGGGAACTAAGATCCCATATGCCGTGCAGCGTGACCAAAAATTAAAAAAAATAAAACATAAACAAGAGAAAGAGGGCAAGTGTTTCGGACTGGCTTCTAAAAGCGGAGATATGTATCTGGGTATGATTTGGAAAGTCTGGGTATGGTTTGGAAAGACTCTTATTTTAATGACCCTTTCCCATCCTTCCTTTAAATCATTGTTCCTGGGAATAGCTCCTGCCTTGTTTTCTGGTTTCTGATAGTGGTAATGCCCTGACTTTCAGTACCCCAATGAAGAAGGGATATTTATTCATCTTGCCCAAGTCACCTCACTGCCTCTGGAGACATCTGAGCCCTAAAGCGTTCTGTTCCTGAAGGAGAAACACATATGGCCATACTTATCAGAGCATGAAACTTAGAATAGTAAGGGTGCAGCAAAATTTCTTTTGAGATAGGGGCAAGAAACTCTATCCTTATTGCAGTACAAAGGATAAAATAATGGCATAAATGCTATAAATAGAGATTGTTTGGACTGAAAAATATGCAAACTGTGTTTTGTTTTGTTTTTTGCCTGTTATCTATATTAAACATAGGTGTTAAGTATCTATTTTCTTTATGTTATATGATCTAGAATGATTTGATACAAAGGGTTTTTTCATTATTTTTATGGAAAATGTTTTTATTTCATGGTTTCACTTTATATATTATCTTGTGGTTATGCTGGTTAGGGAGCAGAAAGATGAAAAATTGATTATTTTGCTCTTTAAGCTTTTCCTTCTTTCTTTCTCACTCTCCTTTCCTCCCTCCCTTCCTCCATTTCTTTCTTTATCCTTCTTTCTTTCCTTCCTTCCTTCTTTTTTCTCAATCATAGGTGTCATAATTTTTATTTAACATACTTTTAAATTTACTTTTTCTTCTTAGGTTTTTAAAATTGAGATAGAGCTGGTTTACAGCATTATAGTAGTTCCAGATATGCAACATAGTGTTTCAAAATTTTCATAGATTATACTCCATTTGACATTATTATAAAATAATACCTATATTCCCTGTGCTGTACAATATATCCTTGTAGATAATTTATTTTATACATAGTGATTTGTATCTCTGAATCCTCTATCCCTGTGTTATCCACCTCCTTCTTTGCTAGCCCCACTGGAAACTACTAGTTTATTCTGCTGCTGCTGCTGCTGCTAAGTCGATTCAGTCATGTCTGACTCTGTGCGACCCCGCAGACGGCAGCCCACCAGGCTCCCCCATCCCTGGGATTCTCCAGGCAAGAACACTGGAGTGGGTTGCCATTTCCTTCTCTAGTGCAGGAAGGTGAAAAGTGAAAGTGAAGTCGCTCAGTCTGTCTGACTCTTAGCAACCCCATGGACTGAGCCTACCAGGCTTCTCCATCCATGGGATTTTCCAGGCAGTAGTTTATTCTAAATATCTGTAAATCTGTTTCTGTTTTGTCATATTGATTCATTTTTAAATTTTTTTTATTTTTTAGGTTCCACATATAAGTGATAACATAAAGTATTTGTCTTTGATTTCTTTAAGCATCATAGGCTCTAGGTCCATCTATGTTGTTGAAAATGCAAAATTTCATCCTGTGTATATGGTGAACTGGTTACTTTTCCCAGTGTTGGAGAATTGGCCTTTTGTAGTGTTCTAGAGAGAAGGCAATGGCACCCCACTCCAGTACTCTTGCCTGGAAAATCCCATGGATGGAGAAGCCTGGTAGGCTCAGTCCATGGGGTTGTGAAGAGTCGGACAGACTGAGCGACTTCACTTTCACGCACTGGAGAAGGAAATGGCAACCCACTCCAGTGCTCTTGCCTGGAGACTCCCAGGGACGGGGGAGCCTGGTGGGCTGCCGTCTATGGGGTCGCACAGAGTCGGACACGACTGAAGCGACTTAGCAGCAGCAGCTCTGGTCATCACTGCTATGTGCTCGAGGGGTTCTCCCTATGTGGGCTGTGTGGGCGCTTCTGATGTAGTGTGCTGACTGACTTCTCTGGGCATGCTGCTTGACATGACGGGCCCCCCTGTTCAGTTGGTTGCCCCTTGTGTGGAGGCTTCTGGCTACTGGCTGGTGGCGCCAGGTAATGACAAGGCTGGCTGTAGTGCTGGCTCACTGGTGAGTGGAACTGGGTCCCCAGGGCTCTGACTGCACGGCCCTGGGAGTCCCAAGACTGGTGGGTGGGGCTAGCCCCTAGGACCACTGTCTGAGGGGCCCGAGATGTCTCAAATCTTGAATCGGCCTGTTGGTGGGCAGGGTCTAGTCCTGGGGTCTCTGGCTACAGGATCCAGGGGTCCCAGAACTGGTGTTGGGTCACTGCTGGTTGAGGCCAGCTCCTGATAGAGCTGCTGGGGGTCGAGGATGTCCTAAAGTTGTGTTTCCCTACTGGTGAATGGAGCCAGACTCGGGGTGAGGGGCGAGGGGAGGGGCGGATATTGAGGGTTGGGGAGGAGGGGGCATGGCAGGGAAGCAGATTCTGGGGCTGGTGTGGGCAGAGAGGAATCCTGGTGCCTCTGGCTCCAGGACCCTTGGTGTTCCGGAAATGATGTTTGTACCCTGGTGTGTGGAGCCAAGTCCCGGGTCCCCTGGTGGATGCACAAAGCTGTGTCCTGGATTGGCTATGACTCAGTGGGTCTTGAGGCAGCTAGCCTCCTGGTGGTGGGGCTGTGTCTCCTCCTGCTAGTTGCTTGGCCTGAGATGTTCCAGTACTAATGCCTACAGGCTGGCGGGCAGAGCTGGGTCTTGGAGCTAGTAAGCTAGATGGAGGATTCCAGACTAGTTCCCGCAAGGGCCAGTGTCCACATGGCAGAACTTCCTCCTCAAAATGAATGCCACCAGCGTCTCGGTGCCTCCTGTCTCTCTGGAACACTGCAAAATCATCAGGTAGGTCTGATGCAGGCTCCTTTCAAATTATTGCTTCTGCCTTGGGTCCCAGAGCACGTGAGATTTTTGCGTGTGACCTTTAAGAGTGGAGTCTCTATTTTCCTTAGCCCTCTGGCTTCCCCCCAAAGTGATCTCTGCTGGCCTTTAAACCCAGACATTCTGTAGGTTCATCTTCCTGGCGCTGGACTCTTGGGCTGGGGAGCACAGTGTGGGGCTCTGATTCCTCACTCCTAGGGGACAATCTCTGCAGTTACAGCTCTTCTCCCATTTGTGGTTTGCCCACCCACTGCTGTGGCTCTCAACTATATGGCAACTGTCACCTCTCCTACCTTCCTCTTTGCGGTTCCTCCTTTATATCTATAATTGTAGAAGATTTTTTCTGGTAGGTTCTGGTCTTTCACATCAGTGGTTTCTCTGTAAATAGTTGTCATTTTGGGATGCCCTTGAGAGCAGGTGAGCCCAGGGTGTTCCTACTCCACCATCTGGGGACCTCTTCAACCTAAGCTGTTTGCTTTATGAAGCAATTCCAGGGCTGTGGAACAGGTAGTTTTTTTTTTTTTTTTTGGTCTTGTTTTAAACTGGAGGCAAATTAAGTCCTTGTGTAGCTGAATTCCAGTTGCA